GGGTTTAGGGTTTGGGGTAAGGGTTTTTTAAGCACACGCAGCTGCTGACCTGAAGATTTCTTAACCCCCAAACTAAAGACTTCTGTCAGCAGAACCTATACCTCAACAATAACCCCAAAAGACAGGAGACGGTTTTTAAAAACCCTCTTCTGTTTTTAAAAACCCTCTTCAACAAAAAACCCCAAAAGACAGGAGACCCCAAACCCTACCCCAAGCTCTACCTGAACCTTAACCCTAAACTGTCCGAAACCCTAAAACTTTTTAGCCCACAAGCCTTCATCCCTCAACGCTTTGACACTTTCAGGGGTACAAGAAGAACCCAAACCTGTAATGCTGCCACGCTGAAGCCCTAAACCACGAACCCTAAACCCCAAGCCTCGGAAAACTCAAGGCTTTATCGAAGCCAACGAGTTCCAAAACGTTCTCTCCAAGCTTTCTGTCAGCCTGACGGCGGCTCGCCTACATTCAATGTAGTACATTGATTATTCGGCTTGTTGGGTTTAGGGCTTCAGGGTTTAGGCACTTGGGTTCAGTGTTTAGACATTAGACTCTTTTTCGTGCCTTTCAGGGCGGTTTTGGCATTGTGGCTCGGAGATTCAACTTGTTAGGGTTGTCGGGTTCAGCGCTGATTGAGGGCAGGAGTTTGAGTTCGACTAACTACTGATCCTACAATTGTCTCTGTCTACTATTGCTGCTGCCGCTTGCTGCCTGCTGTTGCTGCATTCTAGTTGCTATCACTGCTATTACTGCTGCTTCTACTATTACTCCTCCTCCTCCTCCTCCTCCTCCTCCTCCTGTTGCTGCTGCTGCTGCTGCCGCTGCTGCGCCGCTGCTGCTGCTACTGCCGCCTTGTGTTTTTTCCATAGCTTTCTCTTGTTGTGTAGTTATGATCTCTTTCTGAAGCATCCCCAATCCTAGGCACTGCCTGAACCCGACCCTTTTAAAGGACGTTTATAAGGAAATCATAGAAAGGAGCCCTAAGAAGGTGGGCCTTATAGGGTCTAAGTGAACCCCACAGCTTGAGCCCCAAACCACAAAGCCTCAAGGCCCTAAAGCCCTAGCCCTTTAGAAAGTGGAACCCCTAGTTTGGGACTCAATACTACTTCTAAAGCGTCCTGTATGGTAAACCCCCTAGAGGGATCTAGATCTTCCCGAATTTTGTGGGTCCTTTATGGTGAACCCCCTGAACTTAGTTCTCCAATGCCCAACCTTCAAACTTTTCGGGTTTCGCTGGGGGCTGTGCTCATGACCCGACGTGCTTCAAACTTTTCGGGTTCTCGCAACTTAGTAGCAATCTGAAAGTTTTGCAGTTTAACCTTTTATTTGCTTACTGGGGAAACCCTAAACCCCTAAACCCTAAACCCTAAACCCTAAACCCTAAACCCCTAAACCCCTAAACCCCTAAACCCCTAAACCCTCTGGATCTTCCCGGGATATTCTTTGGGCTGAAAGGGGGGGGGGGGCCAGAGCCGAGGCGGATCAGGTGACCCAGGTCTTCCAAGTCGCCGACCTCAACCACGACGGAAAGCTCAGCCTCGAGGAGGGCTTAAAGGGTTTTAGGGGTTTAGGGGTTTATAGGGATTTAGGGGTTTAGGATTTAGGGGTTTAGGGGTTTAGGGTTTAGGGGTTTATAGGGATTTAGGGGTTTAGGGGTTTAGGGGTTTAGGGTTTAGGGTGTAGGTTTTGGGTTTTAGGGTTTAAAGTTTCGGGGTTTAGGGTTTAGGGTTGAGCTAAGCCTGGCGCGTGCAAGGTTTGTAAATGCTGAGCCTTGTTCGGATGGCAGGTCACCCCTACGATATTTCCATAGCCATTTGCCCCTAAGCCTAGCTCGTAAGTCAGAAGACCGTACGACGTACGAGCGAGCCATGTGCCACCAATGATGAAACTCTGTGAACCAATTCTGACTAAAGGTTTGTATGAGACGCTAGAAGAAACTTGACAAATAAAAAATTATACCCCAAGCCCTAAACCCTAACCCGGAAACAACAAGCCCTAAATCCCAAAGCCTACATCCTAAACCCCCCAAACCCTAAACCCAACACCCTAACAGCATGAGGCTCGAACCCAACCCCTAAGGCCCTAAAGCCTTGGGAGGAGTATGAGGCCCTAAACCCAAAACCCTAAACGCTAAACCCTAAACCCTAAACCCTAAACCCTAAACCCCAACCCCTAAGCCCCTAAAGCCTAAACCTAACCCCTAGAGCCCTAAAGCCCTGGGAGGAGTATGAAGCTCTTGTGAAGGCCGGATTGCAGATCATGTGAGCCGAGCTGCTAAGCCGGAGCTTGAAATCCCCCAAGGAGGGAGAAGGCTGAAGGGATATCTATAGGGTTCCTTTAAAGCGATCTATAGTTTTCCTTTAAAGGGATCTGTAGGGTTCCTTTGAAGGGATCTAGAGGGTTCTATAACTTAGTCCTCCGATACCCAAGCTTTAAATTTTCTGGGTTCGTAAACCTTAGTAGTAACCTGAAAGCTTAACCTGTTGTTTCCCTGGCTTATTGGGGAAGTAAGTATTAGGGTTCGGGGCTTACCCCCCCCCCCTCCCCCAAAACAAAAACGTGACCTGTTCTTCCCCTGGG